GTTATGAAAAGATAAACATACACATGTATAGATCTAACAGATAGTGTCACCAGCCCAGATTCCTATAGTGATATCACAGTGTGTCTAATCACTTGGAGACTTTAGTAACAGCACAGTGTGATCAATCATGGCTGCTTCATCGTCATCAGATTGCATGTCGACTGTAGATATGCATGATCAAAAACAGAGATTGAAACTGACATTATAGTGTGGCCAATCATGGCTAAACATGCCACTTTTTTCAGCCAGTATGACAAAAAGCATGGTAGTGTAGAAGTTTGAGCAGTCACATTTACATACATGAATTGTCTTTAACAAAGGATGATGTGACATAACTGCTATCTGGGGCCCCTTTTTCCACGACGAATTATATTTAATCTACAACGATGTAGGTAGTTTTCAAACATGAGTGAAGAAATACGACGCATTTTGAATAGTTTCAATAGTTCAGACACATTTTAGTTATAAGGAATACTGCATTATCTTTAATTTTTTAGACCCTATCAAAGCTAAATTCGGCCAGGTTTGTGAGAATATTTTCTTTTATGGCAAGAGAATGGGCGGGTCTTAGTACAATAGAGGGATATGCGTGTCCGAGAAGACCTTATATGGCTATTGTTATTATTTCACACTTAGTCATTGTCCAGTCCAATGACAGAACAACAAAACATGCTGGTCTACTACGTGTACATTTTATCGCAGACACGTGGTTTCTACATTTCAAACTTTTATAATGGTCAGCCAATGCTGTTTATACTTAATAATACGCATGGATTTTCAGCATTTATGGTTTTTAGGACAAGAAATGCAAATGAAACTTGTATTCACCGATACTCGGGAATACGTGTAGACCTAGCGATTTGCTCACTAAACACGCTACAAAACTTTAAACTAATGTATATCATGTATATTCTATCAATTGTTTGTAACTGTATATCAATTTTACAGAGGTCTCCGAAATGGTACGTATGTAGATCCGTGTCTAATCTGTGACTCAAATGCATAAAAAAATATCGGAAAGCAGTAAAATTCCAAGCATGTTTCCATAGTATTTTTGTGGTACTCACTCGTAACGAATTTCATTTAGCTGATTGGTCAGTTAGAAAGTATCGCCTGTGCCTCGATTAGCATATGAATTCATTCTCACGTCAGAAAATCTAGTTCCGTCGACCTGTTTATAATGGGAAAGGCAAACTAGATTTTACAATTTTTTTTAAAACAGCATGTGAGCGCAGTTAGGTACAATTTTCTCCTTTCACATATAGGTAGATTTCAATAAAATACAGTGACCAGCCAAAGGAGAAAATTGTACCTAAATGCGCTCGTATATTTTAAGGGCTTCAAAGAGTGGGGCGGGGTTAAAATGCAATGGGAATTGAATGTAAACATGATACCCCTACCCCAATAAAAGATCTATATCTTTCAAATCACGTTTCTATTTTTGTTAAAAATAGTATTCTATAAAGGTACACATATCAGTGATTAGTTACTTACAAAAATTTGAGTAAAATTTAGACATTTAATTTTTTGTCAGTATACGAGGGGCCGCAAGTCACCTCATCCTTTGATACACAATGCTTGTATGTCTATCCTCCTTCTGGTATTTAGTCAAAGATTTATCTCTCAAACTTTCAATTTTAATTACTGTAAAATTATGAATGTATAAAATATTCTTTAAAAAGTTAAAAATTTATTAAAAAAAAAATACATGGGACTTTTATTTAACCTTTATTTTGTCCTTTTTCAGCTTGACATACACTGTACTTACTGCACCTTAATTCATGCAGATTGAAGAAGTAATGTTGTCATGTTTGTGTCTTCATCACAGTTTGCATTGGCTTTTTACAACAAGGTAAGTGTCATTCTTCTGTTGCTTTAGATTAGTGATGACATGTAAAAAAAAAAGAGTATTTTATCTATGCATATACATGTACACTGTTATATATGCTTCAACTCTGTTCAGATTCATTCCTCCAAGAAGGGGATTAGATATTTAACTATCCTTAATACATGTATCAGAGACAGAAGATCATCTATCTGTCTGTAAACAATCTTCTTCCACAGGTGTGGCCAAGTTAATAAAAAACTTGTTTTAAGGCTTTAGGCTATACACACTTATTTTCATTAATGGTAGTATATATTGAGTTTGGATTTAGATGAACAGTGTTGCCATGGTTACTAAATTTAGGAAAATATGATAGTGTGCCTCTCTTTTTAAGTATTCAAGTGCTGCATGCTTTCACATTTTTGGTAAAATTTATAACAAAAGCTGATATACCCACATTAAGAATTCTATTTGTAATTGGTTTTAAATTTTGGTGAACAGTACTGCTGTTAATTATTTTCAAAACAGAAGATGGTATATAAACATATAGTTTTTCTGTTAAATATTATTCTTAAAACGACTTTGTTTCTTTGTTTGATGCTGAAAGGGGTAAAAACATAAGCTGTGTAAGTTGCTATGTAAACTTTTTTTTTTTGCCGTGATTGCAGACGTTCAGACTTTTATCAATAAACAAAGATTTTTTATGGATGTATTTATATCTGTAAAAGCAACTTAAATTATAAGCTGATGAAAGTTTGCAAAATATTGTAGGACATGGATTAATTCAAGACATATGAAGCAGTTGACCTTTGACACCTCTTAAGATATCTCTCAAAAAGATGGCTTTGAAAAATCTAATCTAAGTAGTTATAAAGCAAGTTGTGTGTATACATTGATCAACAAATGATCAGTTTTCTTGAGAAATAAAAGGAAAAAATACCTAGTCGATATAAATATATTTTTTTGTATGAACATTACATAGATTTCTAGTTGCAAGCTCATAAGTACTGTCTCAGATATACCATAGAGCTTTAGAAACATTCTCTATAAAATAGGTGACATGATAGATAAATAATAAATGAATCTTGGCAAAAAAAGGATCCCTTAATTCAATAACTGCATTACAGAACCTATGTTTCTGTTAGTATTCCTCTGTAGTAACACTGGCGTCAGACATGTACGCATGGAAATCAAATTAACGCACAGTACTTCATCAAAAGCAGAGAGAAATTTTATTATCTCCCCTCTCTAAGGAGCTAAAGCATCTTTCAATGACAGATTTGTGTGGCATTACAAATTTTGTTGGATGCAGGCAAGGGGAAAAGAAAGGGGGGTCATTTCTGGGGGTTCAATGGGCTATTATTGGGTCTGGCCTCTGTAGAGCACCACATAAATAAGGCAGACATGACAGAAATACTGCTGCTGATGATCAAGATTTTCATTTAGACAATGTGATTTTTTTCTTCCTCTGAACCTCTGGAATTTTGATTAATGCAGTGGTAGCATGTTGAGCCCTGGTTGCTGAATTACCAGGAATGACTTGGGATGTCGGTAGGTTGGGATTATGGGGGGAATGTGTCACTTGAAAGCTGGGAAAGCATAAATCACTGAAAGATTGTTTTCTCCGTTGCTATTTTTCTCTTCTCTGCATTGTTTTTGTTAAGAAAAGACATTATATTGATGCTTGTCTGCAACAAAAATGTTCATTTATTTTTTTTTTTTTTGAAAAAATATGGTAATTTTTGAAAAAATATTTGCTTTTTGTTGTGATTAACTGATTTTACAAAATAATTGAAATCATTGATCGCCATTTACAGGTCTATAAATTCTGTACCATACTTCCAAATTCATTTTAATATGTGACTAATTGGTACTATATAAAATTATAAATATAGAAAAAAAGTAGCACCGCTAGAACTGACAAATATTCATATTGCTGCAGTTCTAAAATTTACACTTTAAGAGCGGTAAAGTTGTAGATGGTAATTAAAACAAACAAGAAGCGTGTCTGTCGGAAAATTATGAGCTGTTGATTTTTGCGGAGTTCTCTTTGAGAAACAACACAAACCCCCTCACTTCTCCCTTTGAAGATTTATTTAATGGTTATCAGTTCTTATCGCCACACTTATCTCCCTTGATACTGGCTGATTATGGCCCCTGTGATACAAAGGAGGGGGCCTCTTTTTCCCCGATTTCTGTTTTTCTGTTTCATTTCGTTATCAACACCATCTCTTCAGTAGCAATCACAGTGGAGAGATTTGATAATTGGCTTTTTTAAAGATGTTGTCAATTTGTTTGTACTTGTAATCTACAAATGTGTGTACGGACTGGGAGCAGCTGTCTTGTGTTGAGTTTGATTTGAAGTTCTCATAAAAACTTCAAAATAAAGCTAGCCAGATTTGTAAAAAAAAAGTGACACATATTATGTAAATAAAAGAAAATGTGTGAAAAAATATTAAAGATCTGAATTGCAATTTAGAAAGTTCGATTAATGTACAGTCAGACAGGAAAACTTGAATTGCTCCTCGAGAGTGATCAAAAATATACATGTACCCCATGACTTTAGATGAATGACTTATTTATTGCAGGAACTTCTCCCATCTTCTAAAGCATCCACCCTTTTGGCATGTGTGATTTTGATCCGAGTTAATACCTATAAGACCTGAAACAGAAAATATTAATTCATGCAATGTTTCAGCTACTTGTTCCCAAGCCCTGGAACTCTCACCAGAGCAGATGCTTACACAACAGTTAAGATGGGGTTGAACCTATAAACAATTTGTTAACAGTGCCCTCTTTCTAGATAAACTTAGATATTAAAATGATCATATTTGCACCCCCTCCTAAAAGTAAAAATATAATATATACAAATGACAGATCATATTAGAGATCTTTAAACAAAGTACTCTTCAACACTGTAACACCCTTTATACAATTTACCATTAAGTGATTGAATTTGACAATGTAATTCATTTCATTATAAATTTATTAGTATATAGTTGCAGCTTTTCAAGGTAAAATATAATATAAATGTATGGCTATTGGCTATACAGTTCTTGTTAAAAATCATGTCATAAAATCTTTGCATATGCCCCGGCACTATTCACAGAAATTCCTCTCCAACATTTAATAAGTGTAATGTTGTTAAAGTCTGGCAAAACACTTGTTCTCACCCCATAACCCACATAGCTCTGCGACATTTGGCCATTTCTCTCTGGCGGAATTCTCCCCCGAACCTCCAGCAGAGACATAATCTGCACTCACCGGACTTGACATAAATTTTTGTGTTTTTCTTCCCCACAGCTAATTTTTAAGCTGTTGTTTCTCGCATTTCAAAACATTAGCAGTTGTGTCTGATGGGTTCTGTGCAATGAGGACCACATGTCATTGGAGGAGATTGAGTCACTTGCGATTTTTTTTTTCTCACTCAGTCTAGGAATACGTCCAAGAGTGAGTGTTATGTGTTACTAACGTATCAGAGACTTATTTAATCATACTCTCTCTTCCCAAAAGGTATTCCTAAGGATTGTTTGAGTACTTGGTATCTTGGACAGTTACTGAGGTTATTGTTTACAGATATTGTAAGATTTACCTGAATTGGACTTGTTGATTAAAACAATTCAAAGGTAAGGTTTATTTATTAATTCAATATATATTATTTCAGGAAATTTCTATATATAAATATCATTCTGTAAAAATCAGAAAAATTAATATTTAATTCCTGAAGAGGCAGTTGAAATTGTCATTGTGTCTATATTGATATCTAAATTAAGGAAAGAGAACATTTATAAAAATTAAATGTTTTGAACAGCTTTGAATTACATGACAACTTTCCCCACAAGAATATGCACAGATGAGTATCCACGGGACTGTTAACAAGTAATTTCCACATTGATATAATTTTTGCCATTATTCCTTCTCATGGACTTCAGTCAAAAACTATGTTTCATGAAATACTAATAAGGAATCCTTTTGATTTGTGGAGCCCATTGATCATGCCTGGTTTTAATTTGTCTTTTTCATGGAGACTTAATTTCATGGGTATTTATCAGGAATTTTTTTAAAATAGAAAATGTAAATAAACTATGATATTGACAAAATTTATTTATCTTAGGAATTTGGCTAAAGGGGGGGGGGGGGGAGGCACAAATTTCATTGAACAATTGAACATTGATCCCCATGAACAATGAATGAAAATTTTACAGTAATAGTACTAGTAATTCATAAAAAAAACTAATTTTTGATTTCTTTTAAAGAATGATATTCTTTTAAAGAATCATTTTATTTATTTTGACAAAATTTACCAGAAAAAATATTTAATGAAATAATTATATATATATATATATATATATATATATATATATATATATATATATACTGTGAAATCACAAATTTTCATTGGGGTTTAATTTTCGGTGTATTCAAAGTATGCAAAGACCCACGAATTCATGACCACCACGAAATGTAAAATTTAATATACATTAATCCTAAACATTCTCCATCCATGAAATCGAGTCCCCACAAACCAAGATTTTTTCCTCAAACCTAAAAAAATTGACCCCACAAAAATATGTGATTTTACAGTATTGCAGTGGGTATTTAAGAATTTTATCAAGATGATACATATCATATTTATATAAAGGTTATTTGTGTTTGAAATATTTTTTCAACACTGATGGGAGTTTAAAGTGTATGAGAGTTATCCCCCTTAAAGTGTGTTGAGATGTTGTAAAACTCCACACCTGTATAACAGGTGTGCCCGGCTCTGATCAAGATGTTATCTACATAATACATACGGTATATAAAGCCAGCATTGTTTAAGGATGTTTATAGATAAATTCTTTGAAATTTGTTATTGGCAGAAGAAGTACAATCTTGCCTATACATTATGAAGGAAGGTGCAAAAAAAGTTATGAAAAGGAGGAACTAAATAAAATGATGAAACATTTTTCTGGAAAAAAAAATGAAGGAAAAAAAGAGGAATAGGGTGAAAGAGAAACTGTAAAAAAGTTACCCATTTAACTTCATACTAGTTGATGCATGACATGTTATAATTAATTGCAGAAAGACCATACAATATTAATTTCTTATATATACATTTGTGGTATCTCTCCATTATATAAACATACAGAGAGAAAATATCTTCAATTCTGTATGAAGTTTGTCAGAGGTCAGAGGTCAATACGTGACCTAATCACACGGCGCAATAATATCTACCGGTACAATTATAAAATGACCTGCTCTACTTGCTTTTCATGTATAAAAATGAATTAAATAAGCAAGTTAAATGATAATTATTTTATTTTGAATGTATTAACAAAGTATTTCATACAGTTTTTGGGCTATCGATTCAACCTGTGTACATAGAGAAAGCTAGGAGCCTAGCGTGTGTTTACATTTTTCTTCACTTTTGTCAGCTGCACAGTCTCTAAGGTTCATACTTATTTTTTGGATAGACCTTTGGTTAAAGAACTATATGCGGTATATTGCATATGTTTGCCCCCACAAAAGTCAAATTTTGAAAACTTCCTGAAATGTGCTGAATTCAATAAATTGTAAGAGAAATATAAGTTAACAGAAAATATTATAGTTCCAGAGCATTGTATTCACAATTTCTGCTATTAAGACGTCACAAACTAGTCCGATTTTATATCCTTTTCCAGAAAGAGGACAAAATGGACAAAATTTCAACAATTTATGCTTTAAAATTTATAGAGCGCATGTGTGTTCAGGAACAATATTGACATATTTCATTGATATTATCATTCTACACGTTATATCAAAATATTTATTCTGAACACACATGCGCTCGGTGACTTTTATTTAAAATATCGACGAAATATGTACATTTTTCTGCAAAATTCATAAAAAACTGAAATTACGTCATATTTGTGACGTCATTACGTACATATGACGTCATTACTTATGAAATTATTCTGTGCTTTGAAGTCAGCATATACTCCCCTGTTTAAGGACTTAATTAAATATTACTCCATCAAAGTTTGATTTTGTGGGGCAAATGTTGGTTAATACCACATATAGTTCTTTTCATGATAAACTTTTATTTTATCTTTAAATTTTACTCACGATAAATGTGTAAATCTGTTGGAAAATATCTTTGCAATCATGCCATGAACAGCTGCCAAACACCTCGGCGTTTTCGTAGTTCAATGTAAAGCTGTCGCCAATGTCTCCGTGTTTATCAGTGTTTTACGATAAGTATGCCTTTAGTTACTGAAACCGTGGAATGTTTTTGATCAAATTGCAAATCAACTGGCTCGGACAAGTGTCTCAATCCATCGGATCCATCCATCCCTTTCCAGCGACCGAAATTCCTCCAACTTTTTATCATCAAACTTCGGACGTGTTTCTTGTTTTTTTTTCAGCATCGATTATAAATTTTCACGAATAAATATTCCCAGACAACAATCTGTTCACTATTACTGATCACAAATAGCCTTTCACAAAATATTCCCTTCGAAATAGATTGCTTAGCCTAATGAATTCGAAGCATAACCGCCATGCAAGCCGATTTACACCTTGCGTCATTTTTCAAAATCTACGACGGATGGTTAGTGCAATAATTTAAATTCGAAAATATTCAATTGTCTGTCTCAAATGTATATATAAGTAATAAATAACAAGTTTATAAACTTCAATGGGAATTGAAGTGGGTTTGTTATGATCAAATCTTCTGAGAAGGCCTTCGGCCTTCACAGGATTTGATCACGTGACCGACCCACTTCAATTCCCATTGAAGTTTATAAACTTGTTATTTATTTCTTAATTATTCCATCACAGAGAAGCAACTTATAATCTTTGGTTCACCTTTTTTCAGTATATGAAGTGTAATTGTGCCTTGGTTGACTTGAAATTGTGATGTTAAACTGGGACTACTCTGATTTCCGCACAATTCATTAGAAATACTTGCCGATGCCGTAATCTGATTGTGAAGTATTGGATACAGTGAACAGAATTATGTAAATCGAGTCAAATCTTGAACAATCACGTCCCTCATGCTATCGATTTTAAATAAAGATGTAGGAAACATTCCCATTCCTAATTCAAGCAAGAGAGGCTAGGTCATTCTTTCCACAGAATTAAGACAATAAAATCACGATCTTTCATATCCTTGTTGTGGACAAGATTTTCTGACCGCTGATTCGGGCATGCTATTATCAACATTTTTTTCCATGGGAAACGGAATTAAAGTGAGAAATTTTCATTTCTCCATGTGCTAAAGAGGCCATTTCAGACGCTCAGATAGAAAAGAATCTGTAAATTTCGGAGTTATTGGATTTGAGGGAGAAAAAAGTTATAATCAGATCATTCCTTGATAAGGTTTGGTAATATGAATTGGCTTTAATGATGAAAAAACAGCTATAGCCCCAGCTAAACGGGGCAAGCAAAGACGTTAAGAAATTCTCCTTGTCAGAGAGATCAGATTTGAAATGAAGCAGACTGAGGTCTACAGAAGCAGTGGGGTGGAAGAGATAAGATGGGGGGCCCATATCACAGAAAGGCCCAGCAATTGTATAATTGACTTTATTTGACATGTCAGTCATTAAATGTTTCCAGTAAAGAATACTGGTAACTGATCAGTTGGGATACTCTTAGCAGAAGAAGTAAAAGACCCTGTACTTTAGAATTAATATCATAATATGTATCTTCTAGTGTTCTCTATTGGCCAATTAAGGGCAGTATAGGGATCTTTTACATCTCTAGTATGACTGGTTTTATTTTATACACACAAAGAAAATTTATCAAAAATCTATCTTGTAACACTGAAATTATATACGTGTACATGTAGTACATGCATTTTGAAAGGGGGATCTGATCTTTTGGTAATGCTAAAAGCTAGCTTTAAAGACTGCCTACTTGAGAACATATTGTGTCTGAGCTTGTCTTAAAGGGATTTTCTGTGATTTAGCAATGTCAGGATCTCTGGAAAAGAAATCTAAAGAGGTATATGAAAATTTCACTTATATGTTGAGTATGTTGGAAAACATTAGATGGGTTAGAGTCCCATCAATAGTCTCACATCATCAATAAGTAAAAACAGAGGAGAGAAATCAATTCCAGGAGAAAATGAAGAAATCAATCTCCCAAAGTACAATGTCCAAGTACATACAGCCTCAGTTGTTTAAGTGCTAGGTTATTTTGCTTAATAATTTACAGTTGAGGTTTGGTATCTTGAACACAAATGTCTTGAGTATCGGGGTAAGTGGAAGTAATTTGGAGGTCCCAACCCCTTATTCTTTTAAGAATGTAACCACCATTATCCTGGGACGTCTTGAATTTTTTTCCTTCTCAGTCCCATTGAGTTCTAGATTACATGATTTGACTGTAATATACAGAATACTGTCAAGCAAAGGCAAATCTATTGTAAGGCTTAAGGGTGAGGGCTCAAAAACCTTGTAATATTAATAAAATACAATTAAACATGCTTATACAGAAGTGGCATGAACAAATGAATTTGCTTTGTTATAAACAAATTTCATTACATATCCATTAATTTCACAATATATTCTAAAACCAAATTGAATGGAGAATGAAAATCACTTTGATGTAAGAATCATTTTATTATATGCATATGTTTTACTTTCCTATAAAAAAAAATCTTTGT